AAAGGCCAAAACATGGGGGCAGGTGAAGGCTGTATCATCAAACCCCAGTTTTACTCCTCTCCTTTGGAACGATGGCTTTGCTAGCGTGGCAGTGTTGGTAAAGCTTGTGTGGACTAGCTCTTAGGGTTAATCTGGGGCAAAATCATTAATTCGGAGCGACAGCTCTTTCCAAAGAGCCACGTTTCCCTCTTGGCTCCTGCAGTTGTGTTCCCGACACCCTGCTACAGCTGGGTAAGTAGGTCACTGAGCCACCTTGTTTACCATGACGTGCGAGCAGGTGAAAGTTGTGTGTTGCAGAGCATCCAGAACAAAGCGTCTGCCTTCTGTTTCCCAGATTTTTCCATCGTTGGTCACTGGTAAGTATGGCAGACCTGCTGGAGGTGGATGTGGCCTGGAGTGTTCCCGTTCACAAAGGTGCAGTCGTCGCAGACAGCTGTTTTCTTCACCTCTTTAAGTACTGATATACCAGTGCTCTAAGGATTAAAGCATCCCAAGAGTTACACTGTTGAATAATTTATGTCACCATTATAGGAACACATGGGTTGTCTTTTCATGGATATCAGGAAGAAGTTCTTCCCTGAGAGGGTGGGGAGGAACTGGCACAGGTTGCCCAGAGAAGCTGTGGATGGCCCAACCCTGGAAGTGTCCAAGGCCAGGCTGGATGTGGCTTTGAGCAACCTGGTCTAGTGGAAGGTGTCCCTGCCCATGGCAGGGGGGTTGGAACTAGATGACCTTTAAGGTCCCTTCCAACCCAAACCCATGATTCTATGATTCATAATAGTTCACAATCCAGGCAGAGGTTTTAAAGCTAAAAGTATTCCCACAGAATTACATCTGACTCAGGAAAGCAAGCTTTATTTGTGGCAGCTGAATTAGTTGTTTTGGCTTTTATTTTGTTTGTTGTTTTGTTTGGTTGGGTGTTTTAAAGTTGTTATTCCCCCTTCTGTAAACAGTCAACTGTAAAATGTAGGAAAAACGAGTTTTCAGAGACACGGATCCTTTCTCAGTGTGCTTCTCCTGCGTCTTAACTGTCCCACAGCAGTGCTCTCGCAGGGACTCGGCTGCACGGTTGGAAGTGTGAAGTGGTTTTACTTTGTTTTGTCCTTTTAAAATAGGAGCTAAGTTGGAAGATGCATTTTAATTTGAACAAGAACTGTGGACAGTCCTCAATCTATCTGTTAAGGTTGTTTTTAATTACTTCAATCTGGTTTATGCCATTAGATGTGAACTGTGACACCTGGCAATAGCAGTGTTAGCTCCTAAGCCCTTGTTTTCGTTGGTGTGACTTACCCTGCTTAGATTGTTGCTTATATGTACAGAAGAGGTATTGGATTTTTTTTCCTCATTCTACCTTATGTGGTGTAATTTGAGATGACTCATTAGGATTGTGTTCCTGAAGTGATGTAGAAGAGCAGATTCTAAATTTGTCACACAGACACACAACATCAAACTCACTGTAAACCCAGTTGTTCTTAAGGCTTTTGCCTTAAGTGTAGTGTGTGCCAAGCAATTTTCCTAACCAGGTGCAAGAAGTTGGGGTGAATGTTATGCATTTATGGGACGCTATTTTTATGTTACTGGAAGCAGTTTCAACTTAGAATGATGATGATCTTAATTAAAAAATGGCAAACTTCCTTTTAAAATATGTATGGAGTCAAGCTGCTGAAGGTTAAGTTGCTTAAGAAATCAGGACGCAGAAGCTGCCTTGTTTTGTTTCCCCAGCTCTGTTTGTGTCTCAGCTCTGCTCTGCCCCCAGCTAATGGGTTTTCTGGTTGGCTGTGAGGGTTTTATTTCCTTCTAAATCTTGATGTTCTGGTCTTGCGTCTGGGTTACCCAAGGCGTAGGCAGCCTCTTCTGCTGTAGTTTGGCAACTCGGGGTGCTTTTAAAGTAATTAGAAATGTTGTCGGAGGAGGAAGCTCTCATGTACATGTGTTGGAAGCAGCTGGACACTTGGTTGCTGGTTGCCACTTCCATAGGCTGAAAAAAATCACTGTGAGGAAACATCCTCCTTCCTGGGATGCTGACAGATCGGGAAAGCTCTGCTTGAGCATAGCTAGAAACAGGTTTTCTGAAGTGAAATTTGGTCGGGGGTCAGGGTTATGTATTTCACATTGTGCTGTCTGCTCTTCCTGAACTGGGAACAAACGGGGTTTGGAACTTTCCGCGTGTGTTGTGACAAGGGTGCCCAGGCCTCTGCTGGCTAGCGAGGTGTGGGTGCAGGCATGGCTGGCGCTGGGTGATGCAGGAGGAGGCACGGCTCCTCGCCTTCCGCTTCTGTGCCTCCTGCTTTTTTCTCCTCCTTCAACTTCCTTTACACATTAGACTCAAAACTTGCTATCTTAAACTCTTGCAGCTCCAAACCTGGTTATCCTGGTCGTCCTTGCATCCTTTTTCTCCTCCCCTCTTCCCAGCAGCCATCCTGCGGTATTTGATGTGAGTGACAAGGAATATCCAGCTGCTGTTGAGGAATGGTTCTCGGGAAATCGTTGGACCAAAATAAATAACCCAGTAGTTAATAAACTAACAAACTGAAGTTGTGTGACTGATGGATCCAACTCCGGCTTCTCGGGAGAGGTGACAGGAGCAAGGCTTGGCCTGAACTGGGGTGCGTTTGCGTGGGGTGAATCTTTCCCCATGTACGAGTATCTCTAACTTTGAAATCAATCGATTTGTTCTCAAGGTTTGTTTTTTCTGCTTTTGAGTTTGTGTTTTGAGCTTTCATAGGAGTCAGTTTGTTTCTTTGTAGGTTAACCACTGTTGATGCCTGAAACAACCCACAGTAATTAGAACACCTAGCCTGATAAGACCCAAAAGCTCTGCACAACACTCTGTTGCAACTAGGAGGTGCCGGTGTTAAGTCCGCACAAGGTGATTTAGCTTGGGTGTGTACGGGTGACGCGAAGATGAAAGTTAGTAATTGGTAGCACTACTCCTTTCCCTAATGTCCCCATTAGTGCAGGCATGCCACACGGCTGTTAGTGCCTTGCACCTGCGCTGAGCCCCAGTTCTGTGTCGGTACCGCTCTGCTAGCTACTCACAGGTACCTGATAGGTATGAAACACAGGTCCCATATGACTGCCTCTCCTCCCTGGTGGAGGAAGCCAGATGCTGCAAACCCCGATGCATTTTATGCTCAATTGAAAGAAAACACGGTTTCATCCCAGAAAACGAGATGCAGCCTTCGTTACAAAGCAAGGAACCTCGAGCTCAAGCAGAGTTGGCATAATAAAAATTGGGGTAGTTTGGGTAGGCTTGAAAATGTGTGTAAGGAAGCCTTGACAGTGGGTTAGCATTGAAAACATGTAGCTCTGTGTGTGTGCCCTCTGATTTGTTTGGAGCTGGAGGCGTGCAAGATGCCTGTTGCGCGGGGGCAGCTGGGTTGAGACGCGGGGCGTGCGGCACGGCGTGCAGGATTGCTCCAGCTCTGTGCTCGCTTCAGGAGTCACCACTCGGTGTCTGCTGTTGCAGCACACGCTGCATTGGAAGGCTAGAGAACAGGCTTAGTTTTTCTAATGCCTTTCCAAGTGTTAGCAACTAAACAATTTCCTAATCCGTGTTGCATGGTTGTGGTTGTTACTCGCAGTGCGAGTTGTGCTCGGTGCCGTACGAACGCGGAATGCAGCAGCTCAGCTTCGGACCTCGTGCAGTCGGGATAACACCGTGCTGATGGACACGCACGGAGCGCTCCGCTCGCTGGCGATGGGTCACTTGAGACGTAGAAAAGCCATGTGACAACAACAGCACAAATATGATTAACTTCAGGGCTAAAATTACCATCCTTATTCACACTTAAAAATAGCTCCTTATAGACTAGGGATTTATTTGAGGTGAGTTGTATCATACTTTGTGAGAAACTAATTTATTCCGATGTGCATAAGTGAAGCAGAATCTGTCCTTTGCTAAGTCCTATTAATATTTTTACTTAGGATGAGTGTGGATAGTAGAAGACTGAGACAAACGGGACACTTTCAGCTTAGCAAAGCCACAGCTTTTTCGATTAAGAAAGAGCATATCTAAGAGTATATTCTCATATGAATATAAAAGGTATTTTAAGGCTTTTATTTTAATGCGCTGTGATACAGCTGTACATCTCTATGTAGACACAGAGGTAGTGAATCAAGTTTCCTGGCCATTATATAATCTGCTCTTCATGGCCTAAAATGTGGAAAAAAAGAGGTTCAGAACGACCTTTTAGCTCTTGGGGCTGTTTTCATCAGACTGGTGGCCACTGATCCCTTTGGAACACTGAAAGTTGGCTTTCCTGGAAAAAGTGTTTGCGCTAATGGATGGTGGAAAGCAAATCTGTCTGCTGTGTGACCTTCCTCATCATTCCCCCCAGTCCCTCTCTACTCTGCTCACACGCACATCACACTCTTCCTGGTATTTTTACAGAAATGGCTCCTAAGCGAAGCATCTGCTGGTGTAGATGAGCGTTTAAAGCTCGCCTGGGCAGCACAGGGGCTGTTTCCTACCGCTGAGCGCAGTTTGGTTACAGCTGGGCATAGCATTAGGCTGATAACATCATGAACTACACAAAATGGTAATGCAGTCCAAATATTTGTGCTGCCAGCGTGGATTCTGATCACATCTGCTCACTAATTGGGTTTTTTTTCTTGGTAAAGTGTTGTTTGGTTTGTTTTGGGGTGTTTGGTTTTTTGGGGGGTTCCCCCCCCCCCAGTTTTATCAAAGCAAACTCCTGTGTTCATCTGTCAGCAGAGCTGCTGGTCTGTTTGAAGTTCTGAGTGAAGTTTTTGAACGTTAGTGATGAATGAGCTGGGAAAAGGTTACTGTGGCTCTTTGATGCCATGGGTAGTTTGCAAGGCTGACCATTATTTGTTCAGTTTGGAAATGTGCTGAGCATAGAGACCATACATCCATCCTTTTCACACTAATGCAAGAGAAACACTTTTCACGCCATAACTAGCACTTGTTTCTGCAGAACACTAAGAGCAAGCAGTGCCCAGGTTGTAATTTGTTTGTTTGTTTTCTCCTCTTGTAGAACAAAATTGAACTATAATCCTCCGAAGGATGATGGCTCAACGTACAAGATTGAACTTGAAGGGATATCTGTTGATATCATGAAAGAGATACTGGATTACATCTTCAGCGGGCAGGTGTGGTATTTAAAAAACAACTAGATGGAAATTAAACTGTTAGGCAAAATAACTGGGGTCTAATGCTGGTGTCCTGAATGATGAACCTGTTGAGGTTTAAAGCTTTGCGATGAAACTTTCCCAAGGCGGTTTGTCACACGAGGGCTCTGCAGGAGCTGTCTCTGCTCTTCTCGTGCAGTGGGGGGACTGAAGTAGAGTCACTGTCAGACGCTTGTAGCAAAATCTGTGGCTGCCTTCCGTAAGCCGCTTTAAAACGCAGGCTGACAGCTGTAACGGAGCACTGGTTTGAGAGCAGGAGACACAGAGCCCATCGCTGATGTTACAGCACATCAGGCACCCTCCCTTACTGACCCCCGTGCCCCCCTCCCCACCTCCTGCTGCTGGCAGCATGCCCCTTCAGATCTTTGTGCCAGCAGCCTTAGTGGGGATTGAAGTTGGTGTGTCCGGTTTATTTGGAACCAGACTGAGATTGCTGAAGGAGTTCAACTTTCAGCCGAAAAAGAAAGGGCAGATGTGGTGTGAAATCCTCTCCAGGACATGCATTTTAAAAATGGATGTATCTATTGCAGCAAAATTAATTTTAGGTTCCCAGATTAGATTGGCAGTTTTACGGTTACTGCGGGCACAAAACTCTGCTTGACACCTTCTGTCAAGCGAGTCCCCTTCTGTCCCTCTGTTAATTTATAAATGTGTAGTAGTCGTATCAGTTCTCATAATTCTTTACACTGGCATTACTGCTCCATTTTTCAGCCACTGAGAATGAGTGTAATGAATGCGGACATGTCATGAAACAAATGAGTGGTAGTAGCTATAACTTCTAAATTAATTCTTGCAGATCAGGCTAAATGAAGAAACTATCCAAGATGTGGTACAGGCAGCTGATCTCCTGCTGCTTACAGACTTAAAAACTCTCTGCTGTGAGTTTTTAGAAGGTTGCATAGCTGCTGAGAACTGTATTGGTATTCGGGACTTTGCACTGCACTATTGTTTGCATCATGTTCACTACCTTGCCTCAGAGTATCTGGAAACTCACTTTCGAGATGTCAGCAGCACAGAGGAATTCTTGGAACTGACTCCTCAAAAGCTGAAAGAAGTGCTGTCGATGGAAAAGCTCAATGTTGGAAACGAAAGATACGTCTTTGAAGCGGTGATTAGGTGGATTTCTCATGATTCGGAATCGAGAAAGGTCAGGACATCCCAATGTTTATATTTGCAGTGTGGCCCAAATCAGTGTGTTTATTCTAACTGGTGGGAAATGAAAACGGATACATTTCTTTCAGGGCTAATCTTGCACTTAGAGAATTAGTTGAATTTTGCCTGAAATGCAGAGAGTGGAATTGCAGTGTAGGGGTGAAAGCTGTGTTGATGATGTTGTTGATCCGCTGTCTTTATTATTTAATAAGCATTATGAAAAAAACATACCTTTTTGGCATTTGGTGATGTAACCTTGTTTTTGCATGGAGAAAGCAAGTAGCACGCTTGTGAAACTTGGGAGACTCGATGCATTTTGTTAATAACGTTGTGTTGTAGATTTTATTATTAGTACCAAATATCAAAAATACTCCTAAGTTGTTCATAAATGTAGAAGCGTCGGCACGTACAAGTGCAGCCTCTGTAAAGTTGGGGGCTTTCTGGCATTTGTCTGTCTCTGCAGGTTCACATGAAGGATGTCATGTCGGCAGTGTGGGTTTCGGGCTTAGACGCGGCGTATTTACGTGAGCAGATGATGAGCGAACCGCTGGTACGGGAGATCGTCAAAGAGTGCAACAATATTCCCCTCACGCCGCCGCAGCAGGGAGAGGCCATGCTGGCCTCCTTCAAGCCCCGGGGCTACTCGGAGTGTATCGTGACCGTCGGCGGCGAAGAGCGAGTGTAAGTAGGCAGTGCGTCACAGGTCGTCACGGCGGGTAAAGAGACATGTGTCTAGCGCTCACATCATCCCTGAGAACACAGCGTGGAGAGGGTGTGTGCACCTCATGGGCTTCTTACTGTCACTTCAGTTTGGTTTTTAAGTTGGCCAGGTGCACCTAAAGTACCTTTGTGAATGATTCAGCAATGAATAGTTGCTTTGGGATAATTCTCTGACATGCAACATGTAGTAGACTTAGAGTAGGCCATGTTGTTTGTTCACTAAGTGTTGGCTGTGTTGCTTTTGATGTGTTGTTTTTTTTTTTAAACTGAGTAGACTTCACTCAAAATAAGCACAGACCGTTGGAAAAACACTTTTCTCATGATCTGAAGAGCATCTGTAATAAATCTTTAAAATACTAATAATGCATGTGTGCTTTAACTGTTTTGTTTATAATAGCTGTGGTTCAAAAAAAAGGTAATTATGGGTGCATCTGACATGGCAGGTGAAAATTCCTGTTCCACATAATAGCTCCTTTCTTTTCTTGAGTACCCCTTGCAGTGGAGGGGTTTGTCTTGTTTAAATTAAAGTTTGGCACTTAGATGTTTTGCTTTTCGTACACGTGTATTAAAATACTCAGATAACATTTTCCATGTCAGTGTTTGGGTCGCTTTACTCAGACATTGCTAATACTCTCATTTTTTTTACTTTGTTCAAAGTTCCTGCATAAAAGGTGTTACAGAGGGATATGGTACGGGTGAAGTGCGCCTGCCTTTTATGTCTCCAGGCTGTACAGAAGTAAACTTACACGTTTGGGGCTCTTCTCCTTATCAGGGAAATGCCAGGCTTCATGAGTGTTTACAGAACCCTGAACCAGCGAGTTTGGGACACCAGTCGTTAACAGCGAAGTTGTAAAACTCTGTCTTGTCTTTCTGTTCTTGTTTGTTCCCTCCCCACCCTGTGTTCAGATCACGGAAACCAACCTCAGTGATGCGGTGTATGTGTCCTCTTTATGATCCCAATAGACAGCTCTGGATTGAACTTGCTCCTATGAGTATTCCAAGGATCAATCATGGAGTGTTGTCAGCAGGTAAAGGGGAACTTTGTGTTTGTTAAAGTCATTATTATGAAAACTTACCAGTGCCTCACAATTGGAGATACGCTTTATGATACTTTTTTTCTTAAAGATGGACTGCACTGGGGTTCTTTCATGCTTCCCCTTTGTCTGCCCAAAACATGACTTTATTCTGTGAAATTCCCTGTCCTCCGAGTGTCTTCAAGTCACTATTCCTGCAATATTTTGTGGGAATCTGCTCCACCTGTCTCTTCAGGAGTATTTTGTGTGTTAAGTAATTCTGGCTCCTGCATCACTGAATATGTTGAAGATTATGTACAGTGATAGGCTTGGGTCAAGGTATCAGTAAGTGCTTTACCTTCTCCAGTCCAGAGTCTGACCTCTGACGAGTCTGGATCTCTTGATGAATTCCTGGGTACAGGTCACCGGTCATGTCTTGCTCAGTCCACAGGTGTGAGTTCTGTTATTAAGTTCACCTTACCTTTTGTTTTACAGAAGGATTTTTATTTGTGCTTGGTGGTCAGGATGAAAACAAGGGAACACTAAGCTCTGGAGAAAAATACGATCCAGATACCAATTCGTGGAGTTCCTTACCACCAATGAACGAGGCAAGATCGCTTTATTGGGATTTGGCTTTTCTACTTTGGCAACACGTTCTTTTGTTCTGCAAAATTTTATTCTGAATCTCCAGTCACTTGCATCTTACAGATTCAGAACTGTGCCACAGGCTGCCTTCTGTTTACATGCTCTTGCTAGTCTTGCGGTCAGATAGACTTCTGAATCTGGAAAAACAAAGCTATTAGTGAAGAGCTGGTTGTAAAGCCAAACTACGAAATTTCAGCATGGAATTCCACATGGAATCAGTCACACAACACACTTCATATTCTGCATATGTTGGTCTCCTGACAATATGCACACACTTCCATTGTGTTGCACACAAGAGAACTCCTGATGACAATATGCACATGCTCACGTTGTGTTGCACACAAGAGAACTCCTGTCTCGGCAGAGGGGTTGGACTGTGCAGGGAAAATGGCCAACATACACAACTTGGCTTGTTTGGTTTGAGTTCATGTTTCCTCCTTCATATTTGCACTACATCAAAGAGTAACAGTTTATTTGTAAACATAACATTATTCACACACCTTTGGTTTTACCTTCCTAAATCAGCACTGGGTGTCTATTAAGAAATTGTTGTTTGCCACAGGATTGAAGCCTCTGGTTGGCTAAAGCCTGTCCTTTTGGCTACATCTGTAGTTGCGACGCATTCAGCTTCCTGCTCACTGAGTCAGGCTGAGGGCTCCTACACGCAGAATGCAAGAGCTGCCTTTTCACAGATAATGACTCCAAGTTTTGCTGCTGCAGACACCTGGAAGCAACAGCTTCATCATGGAGACACCGCTGTGCAAACTGAAATGCGGCCAGACGTTCTTCCTAGGTTTCTGTGGGGTCTCTGCTTTTGCTGCTCTGTCTCTTTTGAATACCCATTGTTCTGTTTAGTTGAAGAAATTAATAATCTTACTCTGGAGTTAGGACTCTTCACCATTTAAAACAAACCAAACCCAAACATAACACCAATGTCACGTTGCAGACAGATGTGCTGAAACACAGGTTGTGTTGATTTAGTCACAGTGGCAGTTGGTTTACAATGTCGGCTTTATTGCTCTTCCGTAGGCACGACATAATTTTGGTGTGGTAGAGATTGATGGAATTCTGTATATTCTGGGAGGTGAGGATGGCGAAAGGGAGCTGATCTCTATGGAGAGCTACGATATTTATAACCGGACCTGGACCAAGCAGCCAGACTTGACCATGGTTAGAAAGGTAAGAACTACAGTCTGTGTTACCGCGTGACTTACTGTTAAATAGTTGATGCTGATATGTATCTCTTTTCCCCAAGCTTCTGCTTCAAGTAGAAGCTGTTACAGTCTTGAAATGCAATGAGAGAGAGTAGCTCCTCTCTTTAAATATCAAAACAACACCATGGCTGAGAATTTCTCTGCGTGGCATTGTTTGATGTTCCATACAGGCCACCCAGATACATACGGCGCCTGTACATACAGTTTTGAGCTCTCAGTACTGTGCATTTATGTGTAATTTTAGATGTATTTTCTCTTTTTTTTTCCCCACGAGATTGGCTGCTATGCAGCTATGAAGAAGAAAATCTATGCAATGGGTGGAGGCTCCTATGGAAAACTCTTTGAATCTGTGGAGTGTTACGACCCCAGGATTCAGCAGTGGACGGCAATCTGTCCTCTGAAAGAGAGACGGTGAGTGAAAATGGAAGGGGGAGCTAGTTGTTTTTAACCCTGGTGAGTGGGAGTTGTGCTTCTCTGGTGAGTCCCTGGAGGTGATTATCAGAGGCCCTGATAACATCTTTCTGAATCATGATGTCCTGTAGTTGAAATGTGGCCGAATAAAGATAAGCATCCAAGCAATAAATAGGAATTTTGTAGAAACACACTCCTGATGCTACAAGCAATACTTCCCTGGTGCAAAATGAAAAGTAGGAACTGTAGTTCAGTTGGAACTTCAGAATTTTTTCCAGAGATAAATACTTCACTGTTTTGTTCTTTTACGTGGTCTGAATTAGGTGCTTACAATTCATGTTCTTGCATCTTGTTGACTATATAAGGGGAGGTGAGGGAGGTGACTTTTTACATTTTTTTATTTATATAATGGAGAAAGTTCAGAAGGGTGTGGGAAATGGTTTTGTTATATTGCTTTTTTCTTTTTTCTCTCGTTTGGACTCTCAGATTTGGGGCAGTGGCCTGTGGAGTTGCCTCTGAGCTTTATGTATTTGGCGGGGTCAGGAGTCGTGATGATAGCCAAGCCAGTGAGATGGTGACCTGCAAATCCGAATTTTATCATGACGAGTTTAAAAGGTAACCAGCTGCACCTATAAACACAGCAAATACATGCCTTACACATTCACCTGTCAGCTTCCCCTCCCTGCTGTGCTCCAGCACTCCAAAATGTGTGAGATCTGTGCCGTGCATCTCCGTGGTCTGTCCCTCTGAGACACCAGCCTAGAGCCCTGGGCCACCGTGTCAGGCGGGAGTGCCCCCGGACAGGAGGAACCGCGATCTCACGGGCTGTTGGCCTGGTTCTTCCCCCGCAATTTCCCCAAGTGCAGGGTGCTGCTGCCCCCACCCATACTCGTGCCCTTGCGAGCACTCATGGAGGAGTGCAGGTACGTACAGGGATACTTCTCCATGATCCAGTCCTGTCTCCAGGGATTTGCAGCTTAGGGTTTCCTGCGCTAGAGACTTGATGTGGTTTTGGCACAAGCCTTGATAGCTCGTTGCTTTTTGAGCCCTGTAGGCTGTTGTCATAGGGAAGACGCTATGGATACTGTACATTGCACAGCACCTCTGCATGCTGTGCATGGCCAATCTCCTTTTGTTTGTTTTGATTCTGCCTCTGATGACTTCATTTGTTCTCTCTTGGCTCTGGTACTGCAATCTGCCTTACTACATCTGGTGACCGTGCGAAGTGTTAGACACAATTTTGTGTATAGTCACCTTTGTTCTCCGGTCCTAACTGACAAGTTTGGTTCCTCTGATGGTTATTTCTTTTTTTTTTTTTTTTCTTCTTGCATACAACTTTTTTTATATTTTTGGTTTGGGTTTGGTTTTTTTTTTATATAAACTAAATTGATGAAGGACTTTGTGGTCAGATACTTTAAGGCTTGTTGGCAGTGGAGGAAATTAGTGTGTCTGTATTACAAGATCAAGACCAATTTATGACTGTGACCTGAATAAAAACACACAAAAATAGAATAGGAGATCTAAGTTCATTATACAATTTTCCTGTAAGATGTGGATGTCAAGAGACTTTTAATTTCTGTATGAGGAGGTCTTCTGTGGTGTTCAAACTAGCTATAATCAAATGAGGCAGGAGAAAAAACATTCTTTAAAGCGGTTGTAGGAAGCAGACAGGTAAGAAAAGCTATTGCTGCTGATGCTCACTAGGGTTCTGTAGCCCTATGGGGCGGTGGGGAAATGCTCATAGTTGGTTACCTGTTTGGTGAGAGGTCTTTGAAAGGGAAGGAATTCTGGAAAGGAGTGCTCGCTTATCTCCTGCTTGAGTTTTACTTGATTTGCCTGAAATATTGCCAAGCTGATTCTGTTCTTCTAAAGGTGATATCAAACAGCTCACGATTCCTCACTGTAAACGTGTCTCACGGGTTGGTACAGGCTGAGCTTTCATAAAGTGGAGTTTGCAGAACCTGGGTGGTTCCAGGCTGGGTGCTGCAGGTGAGTCCCTGGTGCCACCTGCTGACTGTGGCACAGAGGCCAGGCAGAGGTGTTCCCTGCTCTGCGTTCGGTCTCTGCTTGGTGCCATCCCAGAGAGGTTAAGGAAAGTAAAATTACAGTGAAAATGCAGTTGCTTCAGGGCTTTTCTAGCACCCGATATGGGGAGCGTGGCACGAGGGCTGTGCTGGAGCAGAGGAGGATGAGCACAGCGAGTAACCTGCATTGACTTGCTGGAGCAGGCATGTATCGAGGGCTGCCAAGATGCTCAGACTCTGCCTTTCTGCTCTGCCACCGCGCAGCATTTGAGCTTAGAAACTTAACTCTGCGTAAATCCCTGCTTCACAGGTGGAGTGTTTTCCTTTGGAAAGGCTGGGCCAGTGGCCGCTGGTTCTGCAGGAGTGCTGCTGGCTGGGGATTTGTGCTCTCCCGGACCCCGGTCCAGCCCTGCGGGCAGAAGGGGTGTTCCTGGCCAGGAGAGGGTGCACTGTCACTGCCTTATGCCGTAGCACTCGGGCTCTCGGGGGGCTGACACCCACCCCGACACCAGTACCCTCGGGGTCCTGGGCGGGGTGATGCCTCTCGGGGTGGCTGTGGCCAGGACTGACACACTTGAGCAGTTGTACCTGTGTGAGGAGGGAGAAAACAGCCAGAAAGGGACTTGCCTTCAAAATACAGTTAGCAGATATTTTTGCCTGCCTGATACTGAGGCAAAATACTTGTTGCCCCGTGCTCTTTGAAGTAAGATTGAATCTGGAAAATTACCATGGTTTCATTACAGTAGTGTTTCACGAGTACCAGATGAAGGCAAGTTGACTCTGGAAAACATGAGGGTATTATTTCCCAGGCTGCTTCAGAAATAGCAGCAAAACACATCTAAATCACTTTATTTTGAATAGTGAAAGCTTAAATAATACACTTCTGTTAAGGCTGTGAAAACCTTATGCAGAGTACTGCTGTGTGTTCAATTAGTTAAGCAGTTCCGCTTGGGTGCTGTTTGCTCTGCTGCGCATCCTTCCTCGGGCGCAGAGCAGAAGCGATGCTGCAGATCCTACCACAGGCAGGCAGTGTCCCTCTCCGTTCCTGTCTGCAGAGCTAATGTGACAGACTGGTGCTTCATCGGAAACGTTACGCAGTTGCTACAGGGTGATTAACTTATAATTGTGTTTCCTCAGCAGTAGTTTCTGAAACAAATACAGGTAATTAGTCCCCTTCAAACCAGCAGCCTTCAAAAAGTCATCGTGAAGGATAAAAGCACCTTCTGGCTCCCCAGCGCGTGTTCTTTCGTAGTGACAGGGAGGGAGTAGCACTGGGGCTGTCGCAGCCAAAATGCCATGCTGATGGTGTCCGTGTGTGTTGCCGACATCCAAGAATGTTGGGTTAAGAGCTTTGTGGAAAGGAGTGTGTTTGCAAGATCCTTTGGCAGCAGTGGGTCAGAAGCACAGTATATAAATTTCTAGCAGTCTCAAACCAAATTCAGTGGTTTTTTGATGGTTACATCTCCGCAGTTCATACCTCACAACGAGCTGCAGACTTTTCCAGCTGCTCTCGCCTAAGTGCAGAGCTCCATCATGTTGACTTTGTTGGTGAATGGAAAGAATTTCTGTAGGCTGAGGTCAGCCGTCAGACACTGCTGGTTTACAGGTACGTGCGGCAATGCACACGCGTGTGATCTGCATTGTCTGCCACGGCCTTCAGCTCTCGTTACGCCAGGGTACAGGATCCAGCGTCATCCAAGGCATCCAGAGTCCGTGAGGACCTGATTGATGGGTTTTACTTAGTGTGTATGTCTAAGTATGCACTTACCTCAGTATATAAACATATTAATTCATATAAGCCGGCATGATTCTGGCTTGGATTGGATTATAGGGCTGAAGTTTAACTTGTTTAATATTGCTTACTTTCACAGTAACTTACTCCAGAAGAACTCACAGTGCAGAGTCTTTCCACCTTGTTATTGTTAATGGTGACGCAGAGCTTTCTAAAGACAGAACTTTCTAAAGACACAGATCTTCACGCTAGCAGAAAATAAACATCGAGGCTCCTGCTAAGCCATTCTGTATAAACAAGCAATAAAATAAATGAAGTGAGACAGAATAGTCGCTCACACATGAAATGTGGACAGGGTCATGGAGAAAATAATTCTGATATCTGAATTACTTCTGGAACTGAGATTTTTTTCAATTAATAAACGTTTTATCAGCCTGTCTTTAGAGTCCTGTGCGTGAGTGAATGTAGGTGAACTGAGGATAGAAAACACGCACGTCAGACTGCCGTGTTTCAAGATGTAGACCTTTTTCCAGAGGCTATAGACTGAGCTCTTATGTGCATTGTGTCCTGGTTTTTAAGGTATCCATCAAGGTAAAACCAGACTTTTTAACAAGTGAAAACGGGAGATGGAGATGTGAGGGGGCCCTTTGCTCAGTGATCTGACGTTGGCCTACTCCACAGACAGCAGGAAACCTTACCTACATGTAAAACACCTTGATGGGTCAGCCTTTCTTTCTGCCAGAGTTCCAAATCTATAATACGCCTTTTTGCGTCACGTAGGTGTGTGGAGAATTGGATGATGTCTGTACACACTGAGCTTTTTTTTCTAATTAATGTGGATTTTTGGAAAAGATTAATAAAGCACAAGTTGTCTTTAGGAATCAAGAGCTGCTGGTGGAGCTCTGTCCTTGAGCACAGCCACTGCTGCTTTCGCTGGTGGTCTGTGAGCGGGGTCGGCTTCCTTCCTTCCTTTCACCAGCTCCTGGTGCAAAAGCATTGCCAAAATCTGCAGGTGTTGGGGGTGATCAAGTGAGGGAGACTTGCTCAGAAGCAATGCTTGGTTAAAAACTCCTTTAAAATACTTTTTGCTGCCTTGAGGAAGTGCTTTGAGTGGTATGTAAGTAGTAAACTAAATCTTGCAACGTAGTGTGTGTAATCAGGAAGACTCTCCCATTCAGTGTGCAGGAATTTCATTAGAAGTGCTTACGTGAATGTGATGGGAAATGGAACTGCTAACGCTGTCAGAGGAGAGGAATGCAGGGAGGATGTTCATTCACCTGTAGCCTGCCTTTCGCAGCGGGTGTGAGCCTGAGGAGACAGGCTGGAGTATCTTGGTTCTGTCGTATTGACATCCCACTTGGAAATAAAAGTTACCATCCTGCTTATTAATTACAGCATGTGGATGGAACTTTTTGTTCATATGCCTTTAAGACTGAAATAAAAAATAAAATCAGGATTCCTTCCCCATTCTTCAGTCTGAGTGGAAGCCTATTCCAGTTCTAGAGCAGTCATTCCTGTCTGTGGTTGCGGAGGCACCTGCCTTCTCCCCAGCTACTTGGGTTCGGTTTGAGTAGAGCCATCCCGGGGCAATACACAAGTTATGTTCCAAGGAGTGTTTTCAGATTCCTGAGGATTGTGCGTGTTTTTTTTTTTTTTTTTCCTCGTGTTTTTCCTTACAGTTCG